CAGAAAAATTTGAGGAAAATGAAACTACCTAGGAAACAATTTTAATTTTTTCAAAAATTGACTTTTATGTGAATTTAAAATCCCCATTGAGGAGAGCCCCCGCCAGTTAGGCGGTCCCGCCGCACCCAGCTGTGGTGCGGCGCGGCCTACCCAGCGGGCGCCGGGCGGCGACCGGGCCCGTACCTGGAGGCGGGCGGTGGGCATGGCATGGTCCCTGGGGGAGCGCGGGAACAGGAAGTTGTCGGGCGCCAGCACCGTGTTGTTCTCCGACAGCAGCCGGAACCTGATGAGGCAGGCCCAGCGCGCGGCGCTGCTGCTGCAGCCCGCCTGGTCCAGGAGGCTCCTGAGCGGCGCGGAGTACGCCCTGGGCGATGAGCCCCGGGACCACGCGTCCAGGCGCTGGCTGCGGGGCGCGAACGAGTCCATGGCGAACACGTCGGTGCGCACCAGCACCGCGCCGCCGTCCGGGTCCACGGCGTCGGAGATGACGTCCACGTGCAGCGTGTCACCCTCGAGGTGCGGCGACACGATGAGCGGCGCCAGGAAGTCGACGGCGTAGTGGTGCAGCATCTTCCAGCGGCCCGCGAAGTCTGTGGGGGGGAGGACGTCGCATGACCATCGCCGCCGTTTCGAAAGAGGTAAGTGCCGGGTTGCCCGGGGTGCCTAGCTCTCACCGATGCTCGCCCAGGAGGGCGCCTGCCAGACGTCGTTGAGCTGCCAGTACAGCGCGCCCATGGTGCGGCCCTCGCCCCGCGGGGAGAGCAGGTACCGGGACCGTCGCAGGAACTCCGTCTCGCTCTTAGTGGCCATCGCCTGGTAGATCTGGAAACCGAGCGGAAATTGGAACTGGCGGGTCGCGCGCGGGAGAGAGGGGGGGGGGGAGAGCCTCCCGTGTGAGGGATTGGTTTCGCAAACCTGGCTCAAGTACGCGAACGTGTCGAAGTGCTCCGAGTCGTTGAAGTGGGTGGGCAGCGGCAGGTGCTGCAGGATCTGCAGGGCCATCTCGGCGTTGCCGCCCGGGTGGTGCTGCCGGTGCTCGGCCAGCCTGCTGCCCAGGGCCAGGTCCTCGTCGGCGTGCTCGGCGTCCGTCGCGGCCGCCATGGTGTGGCGCGAGGGCCAGGACATGAAGCCGTACTCGGAGCCGAACCGGGTGTTGTGGAAGACGGCGGGGTTCCACGCGTCCGAGACGTAGTCGTAGTGGTGGTCTGTGTGGTGCATGCGGAAAGAGATCTCAATTTTCCAACTTTCCAAAATGTCGCAAAACTTTCACAGTTTTGTGGCCACTTTGTGAAAAAAAGTCACATCCTGGCGTACCGTCCCCGAAGAGCGAGCTGTACGGGTTCTTGGCGAGGAAGTCCTCGGCCTCAGACTCGGCGCCGTTGGAGGGGCTGGACACGGCGAAGGGCACCGCGGAGCCCTCGTCGCGCACGGCGGCGCGCACCGTGTCCACGTAGAGCTTGACGTAGTCCCGGTGGTAGCGCTCGAAGAGCGGCCCGCGCGTCTGGTACCAGTTGCCCCGCAGCGCCGCCTCGTTCTCGTTGTTCCCCGCCCACAGGACCACGCTCGGGTGGTGGCTGAGGCGTCGGTGCTGCTGCCGCACCTCGGCGTCGACCGAGCGCAGGAAGTCGTCGCCGACGGGGTACATGGCGCACGCGAACATGAAGTCCTGCCAGACCATGATGCCGAGCTCGTCGGCGAGCTGCGCGGCGGAAAGGCTCGGGTCAGTCATGGTGCAGCGGCAGGACGGTGGGCTCGTCCATGTCCACCTGCCCTAGGAGCTGAGCTCACCCGGTAGAAGGTATCGGACTCGTAGACGCCGCCGCCCCAGACGCGCAGCATGTTCATGTTGGCCTCCTTGGCGGAGTGCAAGAGGTGGCCGACGACGGCCGGGTCGGCGCCGAGCTCGGGCAGCACGTGTGCGGGGATCCAGTTGGAGCCCTTGGCGAACACGGGGACGCCGTTGACTTTAAAGTAGAAAGACAGTCCTGCGGCAGGTTGGAGACAGGGGACAAGATTAACGACCACTCTCGTCTCCTCTGCAAGTCGTTACGGGCCCCGCGCCTTACCCTTGGTGGGGTCCCCCTGGACCACCTCCTCTTGCACGAGCTCCACCGTCCGGAAGCCCACCGTGACGTCGACATGGTCCCAGAGGTGGCCGTGGCGCCGGCCGTCGGCGTCCTCGCCGCGCAGGGGCGGCCCGAGCGGCCGGAGGGTGACGCTGAGCCGGTACAAGGTGGGCGCGCCGTAGCCCTGCGGCCACCACGGCTGCACCGCCGCCTGGACCGGCCGGGGGTGTTGCCTTTAGCCCAGTGATAACACCTGAGCGCCCTCACGACCAGGACCTCCACGGCCTCCAGGTCCGGTCGTGCGCAAACAGCTATAGGGTTGTTTGTCCTCCACGCCCCCCCCCCTCGCACTTGTGGTGACTATAGGATGATCCAGAAAGTACGGTCGTCATTCGCCGTTTCGCGAAACCAGTTCGGCTGATGCATGCTCTCGGCTCTCATAGCGCCTGGTAGGTAGGCAACACATGGCCTACCGCGCATGCGTGTACTGCGGGGTGGCCTACCCCGCGTCTCGCAGGCGCCCTGCTTCCCTTAAAAATTGCCGCTTACACTGGTAAAAAAAATGTTTACTTTTGCACGTCAATTGATGTTTAAGTTATAGAGTGTATTTTCTCAACACGCTGTGGTGTCTAACTAGGTTAAACGTCCTCGCCAATTGATAGCATACTATCTGTGTGTGTCCAAGCGTGCAGAATTTGAACGTTTGCAGAACGTTTAGAATGTGCGCACCACGCAAAGTGTGCAACTTAAGTTAAACACCATGTATGTTTAAAATCATAGCTTGCACACGTTGGTGTGCAAATTGTGCACACTTGTTTTACCAGTGCACTCACTCACTCACTC